TTGGTCAAATAGCCCTTACACAGCCTGGAGGTGTGTTTGGGGTCATTGTCCTGTCGAAAAATAAATGATCGTCCAACTAAACGCAAACCGGATGGGATGGCATGTCGCTGCAGGATGCTGTGGTAGCCATGCTGGTTCAGTGTGCCTTCAATTTTGAATAAATCCCCAACAGTGTCACCAGCAAAACACCCCCACACCATCACACCTCCTCCTCCATGCTTCACAGTGGGAACCAGGCATGTGGAATCCATCCGTTCACCTTTTCTGCGTCTCACAAAGACACGGCGGTTGGAACCAAAGATCTCAAATTTGGACTCATCAGACCAAAGCACAGATTTCCACTGGTCTAATGTCCATTCCTTGTGTTTCTTGGCCCAAACAAATCTCTTCTGCTTGTTGCCTCTCCTTAGCAGTGGTTTCCTAGCAGCTATTTGACCATGAAGGCCTGATTCGTGCAGTCTCCTCTTAACAGTTGTTCTAGAGATGGGTCTGCTGCTAGAACTCTGTGTGGCATTCATCTGGTCTCTCATCTGAGCTGCTGTTAACTTGCGATTTCTGAGGCTGGTGACTCGGATGAACTTATCCTCAGAAGCAGAGGTGACTCTTGGTCTTCCTTTCCTGGGTCGGTCCTCATGTGTGCCAGTTTCGTTGTAGCGCTTGATGGTTTTTGCGACTCCACTTGGGGACACATTTAAAGTTTTTGCAATTTTCCGGACTGACTGACCTTCATTTCTTAAAGTAATGATGGCCACTCGTTTTTCTTTAGTTAGCTGATTGGTTCTTGCCATAATATGAATTTTAACAGTTGTCCAATAGGGCTGTCGGCTGTGTATTAACCTGACTTCTGCACAACACAACTGATGGTCCCAACCCCATTGATAAAGCAAGAAATTCCACTAATTAACCCTGATAAGGCACACCTGTGAAGTGGAAACCATTTCAGGTGACTACCTCTTGAAGCTCATGGAGAGAATGCCAAGAGTGTGCAAAGCAGTAATCAGAGCAAAGGGTGGCTATTTTGAAGAAACTAGAATATAAAACATGTTTTCAGTTATTTCACCTTTTTTTGTTAAGTACATAACTCCACATGTGTTCATTCATAGTTTTGATGCCTTCAGTGAGAATCTACAATGTAAATAGTCATGAAAATAAAGAAAACGCATTGAATGAGAAGGTGTGTCCAAACTTTTGGCCTGTACTGTATGTGCTCCCCTGCCTATCCAAACTCTATCCAGGGTTACAGTGTGTGAGCATGGCATTGTACCTGCAGGGCTTCAGACCATGACTGCATTTTGCAACCACAAAGCTGGTATTAGTCTGTAAACACCTGATAATTAATAATATTAATTGTAAAATAAGAAATCAAAATATATCAGTATGCGATTCCTTTACTTCCATATTAATATAGTTTTCAACTATGCACAACACTTAAACAGCATAATCAAAGACCTAAAATTTATATTTGGCTTTTGGTTTTGGTGTACCACCCCCTGAAGTTTTACTGGGGCCCCATCTGGCCACCCCTAGAAAAGATTTCTTCCACTGGTTCAGGACACTGCTGGTTGCTACCCCACCAACAGCACTATTTAACAAAAGTTGGCATATTCCATTTAACACATGGTTACAAATAGCTTAACTGGACACCGAGCATGAGAATCAGCTTAAATAATGTTTTCACTACTGCCATGATTTCTGCCTGCTTTGACCCAGGCTGGCAGTACACTCCTCACTAAATGTAATTTGGCATCCTCTCAAACTGCTGTTGAATGCAGCGCTGCAGGCTAATTTCTCTCCAAGTCAGTTCACTCTCCAGCTTCCACACCAGATGGTGGCGCTTCTGAGATGCAGTGGATGCAGAGAAGATGAGAAGTCAAAATCTTAACACTTCAGTTTCTCTTTTATTTGAAATATACTGCAAGTCTTTAAACCTCACGCTCTGTGTGTGTATTGTGTGTTTGTTAAGGCCACAGCGGGACACTACTGTGTCTCCCCCCTCCTCTGTCTCTTTTACAAGAGGTCATAACCCCATAGGTCCTGAAGGAGAGGTGAGAGTTTACACTGGGAGGCCAGACAGGATTCTCAGGGCTGTTAAACATGCCTGAAGCAGAAAGAGGCTGCCTGGAAGTTTATCTGATGGCCAACGATGGCACTGCCATGTGTGTAGGAAGAAAAGGGAGAGTAAAAACAGGAATAAAATAATAGGATAGGGGATTATGAAAGAGGAATGTAGTCATTCCAAAAGACGGTAAATAAACTGAGGTAGAGATAAGAAGAAGGGTTGTAAAGTAAGCAAATAATGCACACACTACTCACTAGTATCCGTCTCACCTGTGTAATCACACATAAATACACACTGTAGCATTAAAACTTCCATCCCAGCTCCTTCACAAACACCCTGTTTTAGACACCTCCTCTTCAGTCATAACATCCTGGACACAGCACCCTGTCATCACCACAACAGAATAAAACATACTTTGTGTGTGTGTGTGTGAGTGTGTGTCTGTGTGTCTGTGTGTGTCTGTGTTGGGGCAGAAGCTGATGCAATGCCTGTGAAGATTGGCACCACTCTGGAAGCAGGATCCAGGGGTCCATGACAGGGGTTTTATGGAGTCTTGGTTCAGTTTTTATAATCAATTCCCTGCCTGAAAGCTCATTAAATGATGTACAAGAGAGCAGAGGTCTCACTCTGCATAAAGTTCCTGCAACAGGATTCAAACTTCAACATAAAAGGGAAACACGGTTGAGATAGGCAGTGCTGTTGCCTCACAATAAGAGGGTTCAAGGTTCAAATCCACCAGCCGACTGGGGCCCCTCTGTGTAGAGTTTGCATGTTCTCACCGCATCAGCGTGGGTTTTCTCCTGGTTCTCAATCTTCCTCCTACAGTCCAAAGACATGCAGGTTAATTGGTGACTCTAAATTGCATAAGAAAGTGTGAATGTGAGTGTGAATGGTTGTCTGTCTGTATGTGTCAGCCCTGGGATAGTCTGGTGACATGTCCAGGGTGTAACCTGCCTCTCACCCAATATCAGCTGGGATAGGGTCCAGCCCCCCAGTGACCCTGTATCAGGATAAGCGGTTACAGATAATGTATGAATGAATGAATGAATGAACAAGGTTGATTTTGCAACTATTCTACTTGTTCATGTACAGCAGTGGGGTCTGGAATTAAAGCCAGTGTCAACAGTGCAGAATGTGGTCCAATTTTTGATATGTTTAACAGTTGCTGACACACAAAAGGTTTGATACCCTCTGTTCAAACCCTTTCCAAAGATTGATTTAGTCATTTAATGAGATTCTTACACACACAGTGATCAGAAAAGAGGAAGAAATGTTGATATAGAAACTTATTATTTTTAGTCAATCCTGCTCAAACATGTCAAAAATGTTTTTGATTTTGGCCAACTTCTTAAATATCAACTGACTAATAGACTTTAATGTAACAGAGATCATTTTTATGCTAAAAAAAACTTATTTATTTTAAGCATTATCCACTAACTCTATGAATCATTTTTTAGAGTGTACAGTTCAGTCTGGCCATTTAACTCACTCTAGGTTCTTGAGGAGGTGTATCATGGTAATTATCTCTGCAGGGATTAGAAATCTCACTTGTCCACCGCTGCCAGCAGCAACAGCAGTGACTCACAGAGAGAGCCGCTGTATCTCCAGATAAACAGCTCCTGATCAGAGATGTGACAGTACGTCTGCTCTGATTTCATGCCGGTGTGGATGATACTCTTGTATGTTTCTGATACTCATACTAGTTTATGTTTCATCCCTCTGTTATACCAGCAGCCCAATTACTCAGATCCATTCCAGTTTCACTTTTCTCTGCTTCCACATCACCACCTATAAACTAACACCAGAGCATCGACTTTGGATGGATACTGCAACCTGCAGAATCATAGAATTAAAGATGTAAAATACCATAAAGCATGATAGAGACTATCTCAGATCAGTCACTGATCACTGCAGACACACTGTCTCCAACAGCAGCATTAAGGGATTAACATTTCTGCTCGGGAATGATTCTGTTTCTGTTAATGGAAAGCAAAGACTCAGATGTTTTTTTCCCTTTGCGCTGTACAGTGAACCTGTTGTACTGTAAGTCGGTCGGCGCGCTCCTCCTTTGCGCGTCTGAATGCAGGGTTGTGTGATTTTGGTGCACAGATAACTTCCGTACAACGCACGCGTTTCACATCCATCCAGGGGCGTTGATTCAGTAAAGAGGGTTTGGCAAAGCAACATTTCAGATCTCCTGATTTAATATAATTGGGTGCAAATGCCCCCTTGGGAACCCCCGCTGGGTAGCGCGGAGAGAATTTTCTTTGTTGCGTGATAAAATGTTAAACGGCTCTCCAGGCACGCACAGAGTAGAGGGGACATCGGCTTTAAATGCTCCATACATATGCTTTATTTTTAGGTGTGGACTCCAAATTGATTTTCCCATTATAGCTTGGTCTTTGCTCTCATTGTGACAATCTCTAGGTGGATCAAATGTGGATCGCTTCAGCCTGCCCACGTTGCCAAACCCCCGTGCCGCCCATGCACCGATTCCCGTCGCCAAGCCACGTTTCAGCAAAGACAAAAAGCCAGCCCTGCCATCTCCGTGCCACTTGTCAGCTGAGGGGAAGCGAAGGAAAGGCGCCTGGCTGCTCACACATCCAATCACACCTAAACCCCAGACTTCCACCAAGAAAGACCCGCTCAACAAAAGCCGTTCAAAAGCGCAACAAGACAATTAATCAACACAAAATGTGCCCCACGAAAGATTGATTTCAAACGGTGGACTCCGGCTGGATGCACGGAGTGCATCAATTATTTATCCGCTGCGTTACAGTACTACCGTAACAAATCGATGTGTCAACATGCCAGGAGGCTGCCAGACAAGATGCAATACATCACACACATAGCTACACACACACACACACACACACACACCGACACACGAGAGAGAGAGAGAGAGAGAGAGAGAGTGAGAGAGAGAGGAGGGAGATCCTACCTGGTTGGAACATACTTTGGAAATAAAAGATGACCAGAATTATTGATCCCAAACAAGTGGCAAATACCATCCGGCATATCCTGCTCATTCTCATCAGTTCACTCAGAGTCTGTTTCATGACGGGACGGAGAGGCTGCGGGTGCTGCTCGCCTTGTGGGGGAATAAAGGGCCGCTCTGCTGAAAGCTCCGTGGCTCTGGCGGTACTGATGTGCATAGTCCGCCAGTCAATGAGCTGAACCCATCCAACATGGAGCGTACCACTTCCGAGCTGCCGGGGGGGGGGGGGGGGGGGGGGG